GCACGCATGCGTGTGATGAGCAGCTGTCCTCTGCACGTGCGGCAGTGCCAAAAACTGATGTGTGCATGCACGCCAGCTAGCTGATTATTAGGCATGCATTAGGCAAACCTGGAAGTTTGGCTTTTCCGGAGCATGGCCCCAATGACTGTGCACAGCATTTCCACACGACATTTTTGATACTTGGTGCTGAAAAGGTTTGCCATCACTAATCTAGTAGATTAATATTAGCAAATGCAGTTTAAGATTATTAATTTTTTAATGTTCATAATGCTGACTGTAGAAATAATTTTGCAAAATGATATGTTTTCAGTGACATCTGGTGGGCCCAGGGATGGTGGCAGTGTATTTATTCTGGCCCTCTATCTTTTGGAAGCTACACTATCTTCCAGTAAGTTTTCCGAGTGAAATTCAAAGTACTGACTGTCATCTTTAAAACCCCTACATGCTTTGGGCCTGGTGCCCTCTAATATTTCTTCTAGTGATTTCTGCCCATCTTCCAGGACTGGAAGAGTGGACATCCTGCAGATACACATTGCTGAAACAGTATTACCTGGTGGGCCTTGGACATGTACCTTGATGCTTGCCCTGTGAAACAATCTAACCCCCATCCCCAAATTGGGATGGTCCCGACTCTATTGGCTTTCTGGAAGGCTATGAAGAATGGTGTCTTTCCCAGGCACTGGGACTAGGATGCTAACAACAGGAGTTTGGCATGGGTGCCCATGATGGATGACTTTGGAGATTGTATTGGACCTCGAGTTGCTTTGCTTGTTTTTGCTTTTAATGGAAATTTTTTATTTTGCTTTGTTTTTGCTTGCTCTCTACCCAACATTTCTTTGAGTAGATGGGCAGCCATATAAATTGGGTGTATATTGTAAGAAAAGCCAGGAGAACAGGTAGTATTAGAAAGAAGGCTAGAAGAAGAACAATAGGAGGAGGAGGAAGATGTAGGGAAGGGGAGATGGTGTGCTCTCTGCTAGAATTCGGGGTTTTATGTTAACAATATTGATGGTTGATATCTAATCTTCTATCTAATATGTTTAATTCTCCTGTAGTAGTAGCTTAACTTCAGAATACTATTCTATGTTGTGAAGGATTCCCCCCCCCCCACCTTTTTTACTAGGTAGATTAAAAATCTGATACATGGACATTTGGGAAACTTCCTCTTAAAGAAAACCAGATCTATTTGAAAATTCCACAGATCCCTGTGCCCTCCGGTGTGTTCAACATTCCAAGCAGATAGTTTCACTTGTCCAGACAGCATCCCAGTCTTTCAAAAGAGTCTACCCTAAATTCTTTCCTTTTAGTCAGTCAGAGATTGCTATCATGTAAATACTACGGGGAATATTAATCTTTTAATCTTCTCCTGAACAGAATGTATGTGTTTCGTTTTTTTTAAAAAAAGAAAAGAAAATGAAGAAGGAACAAGAGAGTGGGCAGAAGTTTTTCACATGTTTATTATGGAAATGTACATTTTGATTACGAGAGGTCTTTTCTATGAAGTTAAATTAGTTTAATTCTGTAATTCTTTTATTCCAAAAAGCTGGTTTCTGGGTTTATATTACCCACGAATTTGTTTTGAAAGTGAATCCCTAGAATGTGTAATAAAAACTTTAAAGGTTCTACTTCAGTTCATTTATATCACTACTTAAAATCTTGAGATTCCTATAAATCTATTTTGATGAATGATGAATCTTAGAAAATAGAATGCATTGCCATCGCAGAATAGATAATAAACCAACAATCTCTAGACCATGATCAAGAATGTGTCATACAGAATGTTCATGTTTTTCCCCCTTCCAGCCAAACCAGATTGGCACAAAACTGCATTTTGGAAAGCTGCCCAGGTGTGATGAGATCTACTTCCGTCTTCAACCCATGAACAATTTATTTATTTGTTATAAGCCATTGCAGTGGGAGCAATTCCTGATGGTTGGCAATATAAATAAGCCATAAATGTACAATAGCCTCAGAATATGCAACAATAAAACTGTAAAAACAATAAAAGCATAACAATAATAGAACTAAAATGAAAAAGAAAAGAACAGTTTACAAGCACCACTCCAAACTAGCCACAATAACATTGACTCTGAAGTCCTTTTTTTTACAGCCTTGCAAACCACAACTGCTCTACCACTTGGGGTTATTCTTCAAAATGGGGACCACTCTAGAAAAATTGTGTCTTTATGCAGGGAGCTGTTATATTTCTCTAATCTGGACCAGCACACAGAACAGTCTACCTCCACCCTATCCAAGCGGTTTACAGAATCAGCATATTGTCCCCAACAAGTGGAAGCCAAAGCATGTTGTACTTTGTAGGCTAAAACCAATATTTTGAACGATGTCAGAGGAACTATGGAGAGCTACAGCAGTGCCTGCAGTGAAGGTCTTATATGGCTGTACCTGTTATCACAGCTGTGATGGCATAGTGGTTAGAACTGCAGGCTACTTCTGCTGACTGCCAGCAGTTTGGCAGTTTGATTCTCACCTTCTGAGGTTGGTAAAATGAAGACCCAGATTGTTGGGGGCAATATGCTGATTCTGTAAACCGCTTGGAGAGGGCTGTAAAGCACTGTGAAGTGGTATATAAACCTGAGTGCTATTGCTCGCAATTGCTATCACACACATTAGTATCTAGGCTGCTGCATAATGCAAACTTGGAAGGCAATGCCATATATAGAGCATTGTGATAGTCTAATTGTTGACGAGGGCATGTGTTATTTTTGCCAGGGTCTCCTACTCCAAGTGGTGCCTCTTCTGCTTCTTTTACTCATGCTATTTTTTTAAAACGTTCTCTGTCTTCTACTCCTGGACGATATGTAAGACGATTATATCCTTCTACTTATTCATCAAGAGTGAATGTTTGTAGAACACAAGTACAAAGAGAAAGGACAGCTGGCATCTCGTTACATTTTTCCGTGAGATTTGCAAAAGCTATTTAAAGCTAAATTTAGTTGACATCTACAGTTGATTGGTGCCAATTCAGAAAAAAAATCTATTTTTTGTCTTTTATTAATGGTTGAATTCTGCATACTTTCCAGGAAACCCCCCTCCAATTATTTGTTCTATAATTAACTGCCCCAATAAAATATTGGCTAATATAATGCCATCAACCCAAATTAATATTGGGCTGGCATAATTAGGCTAATACGTGGGAAGCTGGTTACTGTAATCTTTTTTTTTTTTTTTTAAAAAAAAAAAAAAA